CATAACATCCATCAATCTAACACTCAAACAGAGGACTGGCCAGAGTCTGGCCAGAATAAATACACTGGCTAATTTAAAGGAAGATAAAAGAATGTATTTAAAGTCAGAAGCCACAATTCTAAATGCAAAAGAGAGGTAAGAGTCAAGGCAACATAAGCACAGCCAAAAATAGCCTCAAGACCAGTTTTTATGTTTTAGTTTGAGTTATGCCAGTAGTTTAAATGAAATTACATCACTGCAGCTGCTTGAGTTTAAACTTCCATGCAAGGATCCCTGCCCATGGATCTGAAGATCCAGTAAGAGAGGCTGAGGCAATTTTGCTACAGTCAGCTACCACAAAGATATTTTGTATTCTGCATTTTAGTACCAAATATGATGTTACATTTCAGCATGGATCTGAAAAATGAACAATAACCATATTCATAAATTGGGTGCAGCATCTAAAACTGTACGAAATCATTACATTACATTGCAAGAAGAATGCAAATTATGATCATAATCATATACACTCACAGCAGGACATCTTTCCTGAAATAAAAAAAGGTAATTTCTTAAGAAACTACAACAGATCTTAGAGAAAATAAAACTCAAGTTGCATTTGGCAGCAGTGAACAAACCTATATTTCTAGAGAGGAAAAAGCTGCTCCTTATTCCTTCAGTGGCTGGTGCAAGGAGGGGCAGGCAAAAGAGATTAAGGCATTTAGAGCAATTCTGATAAGATTACCTTTGAAAAGCCAAAGGGAAATTAAGGCAGTGTTGGTTTGATCCGATAATTCAGAAAAGATTATGTAGCATCAATTCAGCTCAGTGTGATAAAGATGCAATGATCAAAAATCAGGATGAAAAAGTGAACAACCATCAGTCAATGGAATTGCTCATTATCAGTCTGTAATTCTACTGGCTTAACACACTAATGACCAGGTTTTAATAAGCTTACTTCATTTTGGTAACAGTAGGGAAATCAAGCTCAATGAAGAAAAATAAGATCTCTGATGGAAGGGGCTTGGAGATCAGACAATACCCTTCCTTCCAGCACAGGCAAGAAGCATTTATCAAATGAATGTATTTACATCTGAAAAAAGGAGCTGTTTGCTGCCTACAATAGCCAAGGACTTAATTCTCCCTTATATCTTCACACCACTAAATCATGAATTGGGTAAATATAATACTTGGAAATTATGACAGTCAGCATTTCAATAAATATGCTATTGCATATCCCCATCTGATCAGTTAGGATGTTTGAAYAGMAGGGATACCTTCCACTAGACCCACCTACTCAGCTTTAGAGATAAAATTCTCACTCAAGACTACCAGAATTCTCATAAAAAATAAATAAAATACTAACAGGGATGAGGAACTTCTTGATTTCTTCCAATGCATGTCCCATTCTGGCATATGCTTCTGCAGGCGGAGCAAATACTTCAATTAAAACATGCAGGTCATCATTTAGGTGGAAATACTTCGCCTCTCCACTTTTTCTCAACTCTTCCTCCTAGGAGGCAAGAAAAAGATTGGTTTTGCACATTCTTGTTTCAAACGTTGTCATTTAAGTGGTAAAGTTACTCCAGAGGAATCTGCAGACAGTGTTTACTCATATTCAGATGTCTGCAACTAAAAATGTAACATGAAATAAGAGCCAACAGCTTCTGCTCACATACAGAAACTGCAGCACAAGGGGGAATGCTTCCAAGAGTTTTCCCAGGTGCACCAGTTTCACGAAGAAAACACTCTTTCCTTGAAAGTAAAGTCTACAGAAACAGGTTTGGTCTAATATTCCACAAGAGCAAGATTCTTTTACCAATATTATTTCAATCTTGGTAGTACTACACTGCTTGGATACTTATTTTCTGTTCTCACTGAAGTTTCTATCCAATGAGTGCATCCTTCACAGAACTGTGCCATTTGGACATGAAGCTAACAGCATGTGAGATGAGGGAAGAGAACATTAGAAAAAAAAGGCTTCAACAGCAATTTTAGAAGCAAGCTAATTTCTTTCATCTTCCTTCACCCAGCCCACTTCAATGATGGCAAAGCTGAGTTCAGTGCAGTGAAGCAGAGTTCAGCTCTCAAATACTGACATTCACATGCAAAATATTCACAGACCTAAAGGACAGCAATTGGTTTTCTCAGGCTGCCCTCCACCCCTGTGTATCTGCCAGGTTCAAGGGACAAAACCAGCATCAGAAATCATTTAGCTGCTTTACCAGATACCCTTACAGCAAATACTTAGCAGTTCCACTGTCTAAAAAGCTAAATCTCTCCTGCAGCTTCCTGTATTTTAGCAAGCACCAGGTAAGCACTTCACCCTTTAGATTACTAAAATTGTAAGTTACAATGATAGCTGAAATCTCCTCCCCTGCACACCCCTTAATTATGGGTTGAGGTTTAAGTGACAATCCATTTCTGCTTCTCATGAATAACATTCATATCAACATGATTTCTGTTGAACTATAAGTACGTTAAAAGGAAAAAATAAAAATCAGTGTAGATTGCTGTTAGAGCACCCACAGGAAGAATATCAAGAGGTCACTCAGCAGGATTAGACTTTGTCAGCAAAATCATTATTCTGTCAATACAAATAAGAGATCATAAAAATAGAAAGTAACCTAATATAAACATCACAGCTCAAATATTTAGTTTTAATAGGAACTGCTTCTCAGTTAAATACTTAAAGCAGAGTTACTGAAAACATGAGATGTCACTAGCACTGGAAAGATACTCGAGTTTGGTTTTTAGTATATACCTGCACCAAGCACTACCTGTCCCTTTTTCTTAGAGGGGAAAAATAAAATCACTGCGGAGTTAGTTTGTGCAGGAAAAAAAAGTGCTAAGAAACTTCCTTTCTGCGTTTCTCAATCAAGTCGGCTTGTAACAGCAATCAGCAACAAAAAGCACAATTTTCTGTATAGTACCTGGTAAAAAAAGCACTTCAATCACACCTTTAACAAAACATACAGAATTTAAACACAGGTTTTTCTAAGATCACTCCCACAAGGAAGCTTTTAAAGTCACTTGATATTCTTTTTTTGCGAAATTCACATTCATTAATGTATTTCATTTTAGTTCTGTAACTTGACTTAGCAAGGCTTCCATTACTTTCTCCGTTACTTGCCGGACAGGAGTTGGACTTTGATGATCCATGCGGGTACTCCTAACTCAGGATATTCCATGATTCCATGAAAACACTACACATCAAAACTCTTGTAACAGCACACAAATGAAAATGAGCTCACTCACTGGCTGCATCTCACAACCCTGGGCACACATCAAGCATTTCAGGTTTTTTTTTTTTTTCACTTCCCACAAAGACCAACACAAAAGCCTTAACTTACTCCCATTCCAGTATCCCTCTTTGACAGCAATTCAGCTCCCATGAAACCCTCTGTATTCCATTACTTGACACTACATCCATTGTCTTGGTGTGCCCACTGCACGTGGATGCCTGACTTGGCTGGTCAAAGCAAGGCATTAACACTACTCAATATTTGGATTTCCTGTGCTTTTTATTTGGTCCAATTTTTGTTACAGGGCTTGTTCCCTGCCACAAAAATTTCAAGTTACTAAATTCCAGACATATGCAGGCCTTACCTTTGTCTTGTCCCTCATAGAACCTTTTCCCAAAATGGACATTTTTGTCAGTGTTTCTTCCTGTAAACGCTTTAGAGAATTACCACGTGGACCCAGAAGTTTTCCCACGAAGTTGAACTGTAAGAAAACAAACAAAAAAAAACAAAACCCAAAACATTAACCTTATTGAATTTGTAGTTATAAATCAATGAGCACAACAGGATATTTGGCTGAAACAACTTTTGGTCCTAGGTGAAAAGAATTAGATCATAAATTAAAACCCATTAAGTACAGTAGTCTATGTAGTACAATTAATAGAATGTCAGCAGCTCCAGCAACACAGAAGCATCAGAACTCCAGGATAACTTGGTGCCCACTACAGAGCGCCAGATCAAGGGCAGCCTGCTGACAAAGCCTTCCTGCTCCAGCTACTGGAGACATCATGCCCAAGGCTTCTGTCCTGCTGAGGGACTCCAACCACCCCAACATCTACTGGAAAACTGTCACAGCGAGGTGCAGGCAACCCTGGAAACTCCAGGAATGCATGCGGGATAACCTCCTGACCCAGGTAACAGACAGACCTAACAGAGGGGAGATGTTACTGCATCTCTTGATCACCCAAGCTCACCAGGGACATTGAGATTGGAGGCAGTGATCAGGTTTGGATCCTCTTTGACATCTTTTGATGTCAAAGAGTATGTCTTTTTGATGTCAAAGAGATGTTTGGATCCTTTTTGACATCTTTTTGGATCGGGTAAGGAGTAAAGTTGGGCTGCTGAACTTCAGGAGAGCAGACTTCCAGCTCTTTGGGGAGCTACTCAGGGGGTTCCCCTGAGAGACTGCCCTCAGAGAAAAGGGAATCAAACAGAGCTGGCAGATCTTTAATGAAGTCTTTCATTGAACACAAGAGCTAGCGATTCCCAGAAAAGAAATCAGGCAAAGAAGACAGGAGACCAGCATGGCTGAGTAGAGATGGGCTGGTCAAACTAAAGGGCAAGAATCAAATGTACAGACCTGGGAAGAGTATAAAGATCAAGTCTGGTTTTGTAGAGCTGGGATGAGAAAGGACCAAGTGAAGCTGAAACTGAATCTGGGCAAAGAACACAAAGAGTTACAGAAAAGGCTTCTCCAGGTAACCCAAACAGAATTGTTCCCCCTTTCCTCTGATAAACAATGCTGTAAAACGGGTAACAACAGATGAGAAGGTCAAGGTACTCAACAACTGAAGAGACAATCATGTTAAAAAGGTAGTTTTAGGTACAAGTAAAATATAGTCATGCTGAAGAGCTATCAGGCTTAAGCTTTGTGGCCTCAAGTGTATGAAACAGTTCTAAGTTTTTTGCTTGTCCCTCTACTACCATGTCACTGAAGAGCCAGGATGGGCTGCACTGATCTCCCTGCTCATCTGGAGCAATTTGAAGACTTAGCAATGGGGCAGTGGCAGCTCCAAATCTTTTGTTGCTGTAGTGGAAGTGATGATGAAGTAAAGGCCCAGCTGCACTCACCCTAAAAGGCAGAAAGTGTATAGCTCCAATTCATCTCTTTCAAGTTTAGACAGAAAGGAAAGCAAGCACTAAAAGTCAACTAAATATGAAAATATGAGTTTATACCCCTTAGCAGTTGCAAGTTCAATTCCCAATGTAGAAGTGGCATAATACTATCGAGAAAAAGGCTTATGGATGATTATAATCCACAGATGTCATTCAATTTAAGGTCCTGCATGAACCAGTCTTTTCTGAAATTATCAGACCACATCAAGAAATTCTCAGGCAATTTGTTTATGTTTTGTTTTGTTTTTTTTTTTTTAATTAGAGACATCCATTTTTTTCATATAGGCCCTAAGATACAGCCAAGGAAAATACCAATCAGAATTATTGAACAGATAATGGTAGAAATCTCCCTTGCTGAGAATATTCAGGACTCAGGGCTACTGATAAGGTCCTGTGCAATCTAATTTACAATCATTTCAACAGAAGATTGAGCATCTGAAGGCTCAGATGTTCTCTAGAGATTCCTTTTAATTTGGACTTCTGATTTCTTTTTTTTTAATTTCTGAAGATATAATTAAAGAAAGCAAACAAATTGAAACAATCTATAAAAAATTTGAACTTTGAAAGGTCAGTAACTCCTTGTCAATAGTTTCCTTAAATGAAGCTCACAGTTAAGCTCAAATTAAATGTTTAATGCAGTGGAACACCACCTCAGTTTTTCAAACATTACTTAGATTATTTATGTGTATTTATAATAGCCTTTGAAGCTACTAGGAACAAAAATAAACCCAATCTTTACTGCAGCTGTATTCTTTTAGTTAAAACCAGTCTAATGTTATGCAAAACTAAAACCTGATCTATCGAACTTTAGCATCTCCAAAAGTTGTCTTCTTTTCAAAACTATGAAATCTCTACTGCCAAAGCCAGACATTACAACAGCTATACAAGGACAGCACAGATGAGATTTTCTAGACACATTTAATGAACATGAAAATGTATTGTCTGTATCCTGAGATCCACTGAGCTATTCTGTGCACTGAGGCCTCAAATATTTGATTTGACAAGTCTGAGGCATAAGAAACTTGTGTTGCAAGTACGAAATTCTGCTGATTTGAAAGCATAGTACCTCTAGGTGTAGCTTAAAAGCACAAAGGTTAGTAAAAAATAGCTTACAATGCAGTCAACAAAGCATTTTTGCTCCCACATTACAAAGCCAAAAGGCTTTGCAATATTTCAGTTGATTATTTCAGAAATGAAACCCATTTATGATATTGAAGGAATCCTTTCAGTAGAAAACTGATTATTTACTTTGAACAGGTACTGCACTTTGTTCAAACTACTGGTTTATCTCCCTTCTACATTAAATTGGAAACATCTGATCAAAGGTTTATTTTGAAATATTTCATAGATATAGAAACACTCAAAGTATCAGTCACTAAGTTACTCTCATTACTTCTGTACTGCTTTCAATCAAATAGAAGAAGGACTCAAAGGTACAAAATCAGCACACAGTAAAACAAATTTCACTTACAAAATTAGCAAATCCTGTGTGTCTGCTGGTGAAACAGAAGCAAATAAGCCTGGCAGATCCAGGTTCACTCTAACACAAGACTGCTCACATACAAGTTTCATGGGAGCTTCTCATGCTCCACATTTAGGGTTTATTTGTCCCAGGAGCACAAGAACAAAGAAGCTTGTAAACTATCTCTGAATTAGACACACTGGATAGCAACAAACAAACATCTGAGCAGCTCTGCCCCAGTCAGACCAGTCACATTCACTAGCTCTGGCTCAGAATCAAACAACCACACTGCCCTCTTTACCTGACCCTCTCAAGAACAGGACCATCACCTCCAAACTGTTGTAAATACCCAAAAGTTGTCCTTCAGCTTAACATTGAATTAAAGCAATCACACTGCTTTCCAGTGCAAGTTGATGAGGGTTTCAGTTCTACAGGACAGATGAACTCTAAAGAGTCAACCATAAAAATTACTACTCTACACTGGATCATCTTTATCAAATCACAGACTGCCTCTGCATTAAGACAGCTTCTACTAAGTTAGGTATCTTAACTTCTGTCCTATGTATCAGGATACTATGGACAATGACATAGAAGAGGAGATAAAATCTCCACCTCAAATTTGCCTCTAGACCAGCTCTGAAGGGTACGCAAATAAGGTATTCAAGCAAAATTACAGCAACACTTTAAGCAGCTTTGCAAAAAACAGTATCAAGATTCAGATTAACCAGCCTGGGAGAAAACAATTACACAAAATGGGAAAAAATAGCACACTAGCTACATTTCTAACCAAACAATACTCTGCTAAACGGTGCCCTCTGTACCATTAAACTATTACAAAATATCACCAGAAAATACATTAGTTTGAGCAAAAGGATGCAGGGATTAAGGGGTGTTCCTATTCCTAAAATCTGTGATCACTGAAAGAACATCCCCTGTATCTACACCTCTGGTTTACTCTGTGCATAAAGATACACCATGCAGTGCAACAGCCCTTCCTCAAATTCATGGGATATGAGTTTTCTCTTGACCATGGTGTCTGTTAGCTGACAAATATTGTTTAACTGTTCTGAAAGAGTGTATCTGTTTCTACTTTACATATAGTGTGAAACAAAAACCTCCAATTTAAAATGCATCTGAAACAGAAAACATTTTTCACAACAGAAACAAACAAAAAATAGATCATAAGGTTTTTGCTTGAAAACTGTTTCATTTCTTAGATGTTCAAAAATCCTCATTTTAGGAAGCATTTTTTCAGTTATTATACAATGGAGTTTATAGACATCACTGCATAGTACCCACTTCTTCAGAACCACCAAACCAAAATATATCTTGAACAGTTATCTAGAGATTTCTTTCCTACCACATCACTGCTTGAAACTATTCCCTGAAAACACTTCTGGAGAAACACAGCTACAAAGAACACTCAAGTGAGATTCTCTTCAGAAACATTTGATCTACTATATGAATTATAGCCAGGAAAAAAAAAAAGAAAAGAAATTAATGCCAGTGCTACAGAATTTTTAAATGTATATATTACAGAAAAGGGGATATAATAGAAAAAGTAATCCTTGTTTATCCCCAACCAAGGCAAGTCTGCTAAGAATGGTTCATCCAGCTTAAAATACTTAGTGAAAGTATAAATGCTTGACCAAATGCTTTCCTGTAAAGCCTTAAGCACTCCATTGTTATTAAAGCCATAGAAAGCTTTCTTGACATATTAGTTTTCTGCAATGGTTCCTCTGTGACAGGGTCACTAGGAAAAAAAAAAAAAAGTTAATTTAAGATTCAGAGCACTTTTCCTTAGAATGACCTGAAACAAAGAAAACTTCAAAGTTTTTCCTATTCATCTCAGAAGGATAAAATTTCTATAGAAAGGTAAGTGCTTCAATCACCTACATTACACCACAAACTACTCTCCTTCATGTAACATTGTAATAAGTCTTTAAACATTTATTCACAGCAGAAAACTCAGTCAATTTTACTATAAAGTTGCTCAAAAGTTTTCTCTGGCATTTCAGTTGATGCTTGCTCCTCCACATCACTTCTGGTTATGCAACCACATTTTCTCATTTCTGCTCTAAGAAATCCTTAGAGCTAAGCTATTATGAAAAATTGCTTTCTAACTA